CAATAATGATATGTAGTGCCACCAGTCAAGTGCTACTCAATGCGATGTTCAGTAATAAACAGTCTTAGAAAAATCAGCTTCAGAGTCTAAATTACATCAGTGCCCCAACACTGCAAAGCAGCAGAGAAGGCCCCTAATTAGCCCTCTAACTAGCTCTGCTCCTCTACATCGCAAAGGGTGGCTCAGTGTTTGTAATCTTTCAGTTGCAGCAAGCTGGACCTGCAGATTACAGCAAGTCTGAAGAAAAAAGAGTCCTTCAGCTGCGACATCAATAAAATGAGTTCAGCTGAGCCGCCACCCTTTTGTATAGGTGCAATGGGGAAAAAAGATGAAAAACTCCCCCTCAGCCAGGGGTCCTCTCTCAAAAGAAGTGCTATCGGCTCTAGCAGAGTGAGACAATTCCCCGAGAATTCCAAGCAGCGAGCCCTGTAGCGGCCCACAGGTCTGAGGTCAGAGCAGATCGGCCGTGCTGCCCCACCGCATACCAAAAGTTAAAGCTCTCTCATTTCTCTCCCTGTAGGTCTGTCTGGATGAAAAAGGATAGAGGGCTGACATATTTCCCTGCCGGCTCCGATGAGTGACAAGAGAACAGAGCGCAAGCCTCCCCAGAGATGACAGCCAAGGAAGGGCAGAAAGAGAAGTGCTGAATAAGTGATAAAGTGAGGCCACATGTAACTAAACTGGCTAAAATCCAGTGACAGAATCCCACCAAGGCTAATCTCTCTCCCCCTGAAGGTGTATTTAATGGTTATGTCAAACTGCTGGCGCTACATCTCATTGTAGTCATATTAAAGTTTTAATTTTTAGAATACTAGTTGGTATTTCTGATCAAGTACTTAAATGCCACCCTCAATACCACCCCTAAAAACAGCAATATTTATTGCTATTGTCGGAAGAAAACCTTGTATCTCTAAAAATGGTAACTTTACAGGAGAAGGGAAAACCTACTTTACTTTTAATGTAAGTCAATGGAACCAGACGTTTTTTAAGGGTCATTTTGGGTCGTTTCTTTTAGTCCATTCATCATGAACTTCACCCACAATGTAAAGAGTAACAGACATTTTCAAATTACATAAAAAACTGAAAAACATCAAAAATGGAGATAAGAGGTTTTCTTCCAACAGCAGCGCTATGTTTCATAATTACCTATAATTTTATGGATGTTTGTTACAAAGTATTAACAGTAGAGGTGTCAAATTTAACATGCTGATGATGCGTTAATGCAAAACATTATTAATATCTCTAGTTATTTTAACACCAGTAATACATTTAGTTTGACCCACTGAACCATCTGCAGCTCCAGCCTGAAGGCTGCTCAAGCACTGTGTGTTTAAACGACTGACTCCATGACTGCAGCCCTCCTAGCTTTTATCAATAGAGCCATTGATAATATTTCCAACAAGTATTGTTTTTATTTCCAAAACACAACGCTGATGTCAGCAGTATCGGTAATATCAGTAACATTAGCACTGTAGGACGCCTTCAATGGACTTCAGTGGATAATGCTCACAGTAGGACTATGGGTAAATCATCAAACAACAACAGCAAAGTGGAAAGCTCAAGTTCCCCTCTAGAAAACATCACATAGTGTAACGTAGTGGTATGAGGGCGGGGCCTATAATCAGAGAGGAAACTACGTTCTCTCTATGTTCATGTTCGACCTGCGTTTTCTGACTTTATGTAAGATTCATGTTGAATTATTGAAGGTAATAAATTGCTGCTGTAGGGAACAGAACCTTGTATCTCCATTTTTGCCGTTTTTCAGTTTTTACATATTTTGAAAATGCCTGCTGCCCTTTATATTGTGATATTATCACGATGAATGGACCAAAAGAAACGGTCCAAAATGACTTGGAAAAAAATTTGGTTCCACTGACTTACATTAAAAGTAGCGTGTGTTTTTTCCTTCTCCTGTAAAGTTATTATTTTGGAGATATGAGGTTTTCTTTCCGACAGCAGCAAAATATATTCTGATGAGGCTCATTTTGTCCACAAATAATCCTGTAACAAAAAGCTTTGATTTTTAAATGGAAAAAACTGTCTTTAGTGTCAAATTTGAGCAAAAGAAAACCCACAAATGTGACTAATCAGGATCAACCATGCAAAGGAATGCAATTAACTGCAATTATCTTAATACCAATGACAGAGCAAATGAACCAAAACCAGTAATGGTGTAAGGTATGTAGTCTACCAAGTGGTGCTCAGTTAAGCATCACTTCACACTGTAATTTTGCAATGAACATTTTTCTTATCATCTGAAAACTTACAGCGCTCCCACAAGCAATAATCTTATTTATTTATTTATTTATTTACAGTCCTATTCAAAACGTTTGAATACTCCTGGTCAAAATATATATTTTGTTTTCTAACTGAAAAAAAGTTAACACATCCTCTACAGGCAACACAATTAAATATGGCATTTTGCTGCAAATTGTAGAGGCTAGTTTCTATTTATTTGCTGAATTTAACATAATAGAACAAAAAAATAAAACATTTCATGTTTTTTTTTCTTTTTCCATTATGTTGAATTTAAAAAATAAACAATAATTGAGCATTAAAATATGTAGCATTAAAATAATAAATAAGTGTTTTCATCTGTCAAGGACTTATTTTCGCTTAGAAAATCAGCAAAAACATGCAATCCAACCGGGGCGCCAAAACTTTGGCATATGACTGTATTAACAATAGCCTTAAAAGCCTTTGCTAATGAAATGTATTGTAGTTCAGGCTACAAATTTGTGGCCTTCTTTACATAAAAGATGAAGCTTCTGAAAGAAAGAAAGGAATCCCAACGTAACAAATGGATATTAGACTATTTGAATTATTTGTGCCCTTATGTTATTTTTCTTTTTAATAAAACAAATAGATGCAAAAAACTGACAGTCTGAGCCACATTTGAAGAAAATACTCCATCGAAACATCTCTATGGCTGCACACATTAAACCCTGAATTAATACATCAGCTTACTGAAAGCCATTGTGCTCAAGGACTAATCCTTTACCATTATGTTGCTTGGCAACAATAGTCTACTGGTAACAAGCTACATGGCTTATTATGATTATTATTGATGACGATTTTTTTCATTGAACACTGGTGTATTTTATTATATTGTCTTTTGTCGGTTTTATAAAAGCACTCAAGGCTGTGCATTTACAGTGACCGATGGACTAACAGGAATGGTCCGAACTAAAACCTCATTACCTCAACATACATTAAAGCTAGAAATCTTTCTGTCGTTCTTTTGTTACGACAAGGATGATGAGCTGTGAGGAAAGAGTGCTTAATGCAAGTGTGAGAGAAAAGAGTGATAATCCTTTTAGGGGAAAATACAGTGAGTTTGAACCATCTGCTTTTGTAGACTAAAAGCCTACATTTTGCCCAGTTCTTCATACTGAAAGAGCCTCTAATACTCTGCCTCATACTCCGTCTGGACATGAGCACGGCCTGCTCTCCCACCCCAAGGCTGTAATTATTTACCATCTTGCCTCAGGTCTTAAATATCAAACGCTCTTTTGTGCTGAGGGCCTTTCTAACCAACTAGCCCTCGGTCTGACTTTCTATAGCTCTGACAAAGGCTATCTAATTCCACCATTTAAACCCGCTGGAGAGATAAAGGCCTCCTGCAATTAAGGCTTAATTGGGGTTTCTGTTGTGTTTGTTCTCTTTTAGAGAGGAAGCAGAAAATTCAAACGTACAGCTCAATTACGTTTGCGAAAACCAATAACGGCTCTCACGCTCGTTTGTTTGTATCAGTGCAGAGGAGCGCACGACTATTTGTTAATTCTGATGTTAAAATCCAAATATTTACATGCAGAGTGTAAACAGATCAGGCATAACATTATGACCACCTCCTTGTTTCTACGCTCATTGTCCATTTTATCAGCTCCACTTACTATATAGGTGCACTTTGTAGTTCTACAGTTACAGACTGTAGTCCATCTGTTTCTCTGCATACTTTGTTAGCCCCCTTTTACCCTGTTCTTCAGTGGTCAGGACCCCCATGGACCCTCACAGAGCAGGTACTATTTGGGTGGTGGATCATTCTCAGCACTGCAGTAACACTGATGTGGTGGTGGTGTGTTAGTGTGTGTTGCACTGGTAGGAGTGGATCAGACACAGCAGTGCTGCTGGAGTTTTTAAACACCTCAGTGTCACTGCTGGACTGAGAATAGTCCACCAACCAAAAATATCCAGACAACAGCGTCCTGTGGGCAGCGTCCTGTGACCACTGATGAAGGACTAGAGGATGACCAACACAAACTGTGCAGCAGCAGATGAGCTATCGTCTCTGACTGTACATCTACAGGGTAGACAGACAAGGTAGGAGTGTCTAATAGAGTGGACAGTGAGTGGACACAGTGTTTAAAAACTCCAGCAGCACTGCTGTGTCTGATCTACTCGTACCAGCACAACACTCACTAAAACACCACCACCACGTCAGTGTTACTGCAGTGCTGAGAATGATCCACCACCCAAATAGTACCTGCTCTGTGAGGGCCCATGGGGGTCCTGATCACTGAATAACAGGGTAAAAGGGGGCTAACAAAGTATCAGAGAAACAGATGGACTACAGTCTGTAACTGTAGAACTACAAAGTGCACCTATGTAGTAAGTGGAGCTGATAAAATGGACAGTGAGCGTAGAAACAAGGAGGTGGTCATAATGTTATGTCTGATCCGTGGATCATCAATGTCAGATTAAAAGCTTATAATGCTTCACTTTTTATACAGTTTGAAAACACCAGATGCTCTTTACACCAGCCAATAGAACTGATTCAAAATGATTCAGAAAAATCTTGTGTTATTATACAATGAAGTTAAGCACGTTATTTTTCCTTCGCAAGTAGTTCCCATTTTAGGGTTATAAGGTTTTGACAGTAATATGTTTCTCCCTTACACAACATTATGGCCACAGATCCAGAAAACATCAATAAAAAGCCCAAATCTGTTTTAAAAAAGTTGTCAAGTTTCTCCTTAAAAGCAAATATTTTAAAACCATACCTCTGTCTTCCACAGTGAAATGGAAGATGTCACTGGTGGCATTCTCCTTGTCCTTCAGCACGTAGCAGATCTTCAGGTCGTCAATGTCAGCTGAGAAAACAAAAAATAAGTCTTAAAATCTAATGATGGTTTTAATGAGGTGTAATCAGTAGAAGCATGAGAGAAGATTCACACAGACTGAATACATCAAAATGCTTAGCGTCAGGGGTCGGCAGCATGCGGCTCTTTTGCTGCCCTGTTGTGGCTCCACAGCAGAATTAGATTCGTAGGTTAAAATAAAATAATCCTCCTTTACAGTAAAATAAAGCTCTGCTGATCGTTCAACACAGTTTAACAATAAATGGTCACCCTTTAACCCTGAAGGGTGGTGTGCAGACAGCTGGTCACCATAGCAATGCAGACAACAACCGCCTAGATAATAGCTAACGAAAAGGCAAAGAGGAAGACAGAAGACGAACATCGATAATTTGGAGATGAATGGACTTATTTGCATTCATAATCACTCAGTTGGTTTCCGGATATGTTTAATCTGCAACGAGACACTAAAAAGTCACGATGCTTCTCGTTCGCCAGCTTCTTGTTTAAATTCTCCTGTTCCACCTTAAATGGTGTAGCAGTTACATTCTGGCGCCTCAGGTACCATTTAAGGTGGAACGGGAAAATCCAAACAAGAAGCTTGTTCGTTTAATTGTTTACTGCTTAGCACTCATATCTCCAACAAAATGGTGACTTTACAGGAGAAGGAAAAAACCTACTTTACTTTTAATGTAAGTCAATGGAACCAGACGTTTTTCCAAGTCATTTTGGGCCGTTTCTTTTGGTCCATTCACCATGAAATTATAGCTGATGAATCAGAAGTCGACTTCAGCCTCGTAAAAATCGAAACACTGAGAGACATTTTACAAGAAACCATTCCATTTTTGAGGAAAAGTTTCCTGCCAGAGATGCAAGAAAAGAGGCTGTAGCTGAGCAAAAGCTTAAAACAAAGTAAGTCTGTGTTTTTGTTCATGTTATAATTTTTATCCTATACTAGTGCATCGGTACATACTGAGAAAGAAGATGGTAAAATGGACATTAAATGTTGTGGCTCCCAAGGTGGTTTGATTTTTGTTAAAAGGACAAAATGGCTCTTCTTAACGTTTGGGTTGTGACCCCTGGCTTAGTGGTTTTAAAGAGCTTAGCCAACTAAGCCAGTTTTTATTCCTTTTGCCCGTAACCGTCATTTTAACTCAATCAAGCTCAACTCACTGGCACTCTATTCAGACTTTCTGTCTCTGTTTAAATGCCAGAGGAGGTACGGAGCTTTTATGTCCACACTGGCTGCAGTAAAATGTATCAACAAGTGGAAATGGAGCTTTCTGTGGGCTGCTATGTTTTCTATCACTATATAAAAGATGCACAAGCACAATCTGGATCAGATTCACTTATTACTGATTTGTTTAATCAGAGTAATGAAAAAAGACAACTAAAGTTTTACATATATTTCTATTCATGGACTTTCTTGTTCAAAATGACAGTTTGTGACACAAATAAAATAAAAATCTATAAACTGACGTCTTTGTTAGATTAAGTTAATGCAAAAACATTTACTCTATTTTCTCTTATTGTTTATAATTGTGCTGTTATGTCATCTCATATATTTAACTTACACCGATCAGGCATAACATTATGACCGCCTCCTTGTTTCTACGCTCATTGTCCATTTTATCAGCTCCACTTACTATATTGATGCACCGATCCACTCGTACCAGCACAACACACACTAACACACCACTGAGAATGACCCACCACCCAAACAGTACCTGCTCTGTGAGGGCCCATGGGGGTCCTGACCACTGAAGAACAGGGTAAAAGGGGGCTAACAAAGTATCAGAGAAACAGATGGACTACAGTCTGTAACTGTAGAACTACAAAGTGCACCTATATAGTAAGTGGAGCTGATAAAATGGACAATGAGCCTAGAAACAAGGAGGTGGTCATGATGTTATGCCTGATCGGTGTATTTTCATGTGTAAAGCACTTTGAGATTTTGTAGCTAAAATAAAAAGTGCTACATAAAATAGATTTATTATGACTAATAAAGGAAACAGAGTAGATTCAATAGCAGAAATAGCCACTTTTGTGTCACTTTTAAAGGGTTAAGAACTGATCTGCTTCCTCTCGCAGTAAAACGAGGCTGAAATTTCCACACAGCGAGTGGAGGCTGAGCCCCGTCTGAAGAACCGTCCCAAAGGCAGAAGAACAGAACAGGTGATGTGCCCTTTTCTAATGACAGACAAGACCAAGAATTTTAAAGACAGGACTCTGACACTCATCAGCCTGACATCTGTTTCACTCCAGCTCTCAAATTATACGAGTGAATGGAAAAGGTGGGAATTACCGGATGCCACACAATACAACATTATCGCAATATTTGAGTCACAATTCTGTTGCGATTTTTTGTGATATGCGAAGTATTGCGATAGAAGAAGATTTCTTTTGTTCTGTCTAATGAAGTTTACAATTTGTTCACATCACCTCCATCTTTTTATCAGAACGAAACAGAATTGCAAAGGAGGTAAAACAACATTACCTCCACAATAATTCCTACATTTATTTATGCTCTTAATCAAAATGCGTCACTGGTAAGTGAATGTAGCATTATAAGTCTAATTGTGTACCGCTTATCATATATAGCGCTGTTGTCGGAAGGAATAGTAACATTACAGGAGACGGAAAAACCTTCTTTATTTTTAATGTAAGTCAATGGAACCAGACGTTTTTCCAAGTTATTTTGGGCCGTTTCTTTTGGTCCATTCATCATGAACTTTACACACAATGTAAAGGGAAACAAGCATTTTCAAATTATGTAAAAAACTAAAAAACGACAACAGCAGTGATATATATATATATATATATATGCTAAGAAGTATGGAATTATATGCATATGTATATGGTACATGGATCATTCTACCAAACTGGTTCAAAGTTACAGTTTAAAACATATTTTAGGCTTTTAACTGACTTGGACTAAAATCTATTTGCTTTGACCTTAATACCTTAATATGTTTATTTTATTTAAAAAAATGAATGAACTCTCCATTTTGTCACTTCCAAAACAATCATAACCGAAACTCTACCAAATGTTTTAGTAGTGACTGTTTCAGTAGAGACAATTAAAAAAAAATTAAAAATAAAACTCATAATAAATATAATTCTTTCAACTTAACTTTAAAAGAAATCCGAAAGATCTTTTAAAAAACAAGATTTAAAAAAGGGAAATAAGGAAAAAAAATGTAAGTATTATTTTCACATGTTGAAATGTAGGGCTTAGTGTTTGTGACAGCTGCCTCCCAATAGAAAATAATCCATAAATGATGACTTTTTTATATTTCGCTTTTGTCGGAAGAAAACCTCGCATCTCCAAAATGGTAACTTTACACGGGAAGGAAAAAACATTCTTTACTCTTAATGTAAGTCAATGGAACCAGACATTTTTCCAAGTCATTTTGGGCTGTTTCTTTTGGTCCATTCATCATGAAATTTAAACACAATGTAAAGAGTAACAGGCATTTTCAAATTATGTCAAAAACTGGAAACGTCAAAAATGGAGATACAACAGCGATATACTTAGCTTATTACTTTTATTATCTCTATTAATGCCTTGGGTTTAAATAGATCATAACAAAATCCTTGTAAATATCTATATCTAAAATCTGAACACATAGTTTTTTTAAATATATATTTTATGTTGTTTACTGTGAGAACGCAGTTTGAACTAATTCAGTAGAACGGTCCATGCAGACCTGGGGGTGGGTATCATCAGCGACCCTGCTCCCCACGCCTCACCCTGCCCCGTGAACCTGAATTATTAATGCCACAGGAAAAAGCTTCATAAAACTGTAAGCCTATGATTCCTTATGCACACAGCCAACTTCATACTGCAAGCAACATGTCTGCTCTCATTGCTGTAATGTGCCCTCTCCTCGTCAAATATTTATCGGGAGCCACCGAGGACACGGCAGTGCCATGCCGGGGAGAGGGGAAGAGGGCTGGGGCCGATGAGTAAGAGACACTGTCCCTTCCGCTACGATGCTCGTTCTGATGAGCCTGTTTGCCAAGTCTCTCTCTCTCTCTCTCTGCCTCACTCTCTCTCTACCACTCAGCAGAGTCAGACTAAGCGGAGCTGACGTGAATTTCACACTCTCACACTCACTCTTGTGCTTGGGCAGTGTGTTTACCCTTCAGCTGAAAGGATAAAGCTGAATTCTGTAATCTGAAATCCAGGACTTGTGCACAAGACACTGTCTTGAGTATCAAGCATGGGTTTATAACTTTTTCTGCAGCAACATTTTGTCATTTAGTGAAGTGTGAGGGGTGGGGTGTTGATAGAATAACAACATAACATAACATAACATAAAACTGAACCATAATCCACTGAAATGATATGTTCTAAGTTGTACTGACTCCACACACCCCGTCTCGTCTCCAGGCTTTTATTTTACTGTTCTGTTTAAAACATTCGGTTATGAAAAGGTACAAATACGAACTTTTCACCTGGAGAAACTTATTTAAGGCTCACAATCAGACCTTAAAACCACTGTTGGAGCTTTGAGGTCACATTTACACTGTTGGGCAACATGCTTAAGTCAAACACGTCTGCCTCCTTTTGACACCCTCAAGGGGTCATTTTGGCATCTTGACTTTATTTTATAGTAAAATTTTAATCCATTTTATTCCTCAAAGCAGCATAAAGCAGTCTATTAATGCGGATGTCTGACTTAATGCCACTAAAATCACCCAACATCTCTGAACTGTATCACAGCTTCGCTCTCGGTGAGGAGAGTGATATTCTGAATTTGGCAACATGCTTAAGTCAAACTCGTCTGCCTCCTTTTGAGACCCTCTGTGCTTTGAGTTTTGGAGTAAACTTGCAAATCTTACTCATGTGTAAGTGAGCTGTGGTGTTTTTGGGGCATTTTTTGTGAATGTTGTAAAAATGCAGCCATTAATGTTCACCACTTTTTAGCCTTGTTCACACTACGGCCCCTTTATTCCATAATAATTAACTCCAGTCTTGCAGACCCCCTCCCACACACATTTTCAACTGT